CTCCCAGGAAGGAGGAATATCAGATCCAGGATGAACTGGATCTAATGCTGAATCCGGAGTCGGACAGGTACATCGCCTCTCCCTTTGTACCAGATATCGAAGACTATCCCCTGCCAGCAAAGTTCAAGATACCGTCCATGAAGTCCTATGACGCGACTACGGATCCAGAAGATCACCTGTTCGCATTCCTGACTCAGATGCGCTTGCAGACGGCTGCTGATGCGGTTAGGTGCAAGACCTTCCCAACGTTCCTAAAAGGAAAGGCCCGACAGTGGTTCCAGGGATTGCCTCCCAGGTCAGTTCAGTTATTCAGCCAGCTCATGCGGCTGTTCGCAGCTCAGTTCGTGTCCTCGCGTGCCTTCTCCAAAACCACGGCTCATTTGATGACTGTTCACCAAGGGCCCGAGGAGTCACTGCGTGAATATATGGTACGTTTCAATAATGAATCCCTCCAGGTTCGGGACCGAGATGACAAGGTTGTGATGGCTGCCTTCGTCAATGGGTTACGCAGACAAAAGTTATATGCGGAGTTCGTGGAGAGACCTCCCAAGTCCGTCCGGGAGATGTTAGACCGAACTCATGAGAAGGCGAACGCCGAGGAGGTCAATCGATTGAAGGGCGCCCAGGAGAGGTTGCGAGACGACAAGCGCAGAAAGGGCGCCGACCTGGGAGAGTCGAGACCAGGTCAAGGGCGGAGGAACGTATCCGAGCGCTTACCTCGGAGCCGACCATGGGAGAAAGAAAAAGCCTGGACTTCGCTCACAGCGCCCAGAGCTCGGGTTCTCGCCGTAATGGAACAACAAGGGCTCTCCCGCCTTCCTCGGCCACTGGCTGGCGACAAAAGTCAGCGTGACCAAGGCTTGTACGGTGCTTACCATCGGGACGTCGGACACGATACTGAGGACTGCCGTCACCTTAAAAAGGAAATCGAAAAGCTGATACGAAAAGGTCATCTCGGGCAGTTCGTTCGTGACGGGTGGACTGATCAGAAGCAAGGGGGTTCAAGCGAGAACGGGTGACCAGCTCGCACGACCGACCTCGGGGTCCTCGAGATCGAACCCCGGAGCAGGGGGTTCAAAACCTAGCAGGAGTGATCACACTATTGCAGGGGGACCTGCGGGGGGAGATAGTCATACGGCTCGGCGAAATAACCGACCTCCCCCCAGTGGGGAGAACTCGCACAAACGCTTAAAGATATATGAGGAGATCATCTATTGACCTGAGGATGCGGTACCCCTTGCCTCCAACAATCATGAGGCAATTGTTGTAGAAGTCATAACGTGTAATTACAAAGTGAAGAATGTGTACATCGACAATGGGAGCGCCATTGATGTGCTGTACTACAAGACCTTCAGAGAGCTGCAACTGGAGGATAGGCAGCTCATCCCGGTCCGTATTCCTTTGATAGGTTTTGCAGGTCCGCCAGTAAGGTCAGAGGGAATGATAACCCTCATGGTCACTGTAGGGGAGTCACCGAAGTGCCGAACTGTTCCGGTGAATTTTGCAGTGGTTAAGGAGTTGTCCTCCTACAACATGATAATAGGACGACCTACCCTAAACGCACTCCGAGCTATCTGCTCGACTTTACACCTTAGCATGAAGTTTCCAACGCCCGCTGGAGTGGCAGAGGTGCTGGGAGACCCGGAGGTAGCTCGGGCCTGCTATATCGCAACTCTCAAAGGTAAGGAGAACCTGGTGGCTCAGGCAGCCTATCTGAAACCCAGGGAGCCTGTTGAAAAAGAGGAGAGGTTGGAGACGGACGAGAGTCTGGTTGAGTTGCCATCTGCCCAGAGCGACCCGATCGCGTGGTCAGGGCCCGATCTGGCCTGGGCGAACTAACGCGGAGAGCTTTTGGAGTCTCTCCTGGTAGAGTACGCCGAAATTTTTGCGTGGAGTGCTGACGACATGCCCGGAGTCCCACCTGAACTGGCAGTTCATAAGTTGCACGTGGACTCGAACATCCGTCCGGTAAAGCAAAAGAAAAGAAATTTTGAGCCTGAGCGAAACGAGGTCGTCAAGGAGGAGGTAGGCAAGCTGTTGGAGGCCAAAATTGTGAAGGAGGTCTATTACCCGACCTGGCTGGCCAACCCGGTGTTGGTAAAAAAGGAGGACAGGGCTTGGCGGATTTGCGTGGACTTTACCGATCTGAATAAAGCTTGTCCGAAGGATTGTTACCCTCTCCCTCGCATCGACCAACTGGTAGATTCGACTACGGAATGCGAGATTTTTTGCTTTCTGGATGCCTTCAAAGGGTATCACCAGATAGCCCTTGATGAGGAGAATCAAGAGAAAACTGCCTTCATCACTGAGTACGGCACGTTCTGTTATACCACCATGCCATTTGGGTTGAGGAATGCCGACGCGACCTACCAGCGGCTAGTTAACAAGCTGTTCAAAAATCAGATCGGCTGGAACATGGAGATATACGTAGACGACATGTTGGTGAAAAGCCGAACTCAGGAGCAGTTCATCAACGACCTCAGAGAGATCTTCGACGTTCTACGGAGCTCACGGATGCGGTTGAACCCCAAAAAGTGCACTTTCGGGGTTAGGTCGGGCAAGTTCCTCGGGTACATGATATCCAAGGACGGGGTAAGAGCTAACCCCGACAAGGTAAAGACCATCATGGACATGGCTCCTCCCCGAAACATAAAAGAGGTCCAGCGTTTTGTTGGCAGGATGGCGGCCCTAAACAGGTTCTTGTCGAAGTCTGCAGTTCGGGGTTCCTCTTTTTTCAAAGCCTTGCGAAGAGGTCCCCAGTTTGAATGGATCTCCGAGTGCCAGAGAGCATTTGACGAACTAAAAGTTCACATCGCTCAGTTGCTAGCCTTGACCTCTCCCACGCAGGGAGAAACCTTATATATCTATCTGGAAGTGGGGGAGGAGGCAGTCAGTGCGGTGCTAGTTTGGGAAGATAGCAAAGTCCAGAAGCCCGTATACTATGTCAGCCGAGCTCTATAAGGCGCGGAGCCCAGATACACTACGATTGAGCGGTATGTTCTAGCATTAGTTCACGCGGCCAAGAAGCTCAGGTCGTATTTCTAAGCTCACCCCGTGGTAGTAATGACTGACCAGCCTCTAAAGCAAATTCTCTCAAAACCCGATACATCAGGAAGAATGGTGAGGTGAGCCGTGGAGCTGTCCGAGTTCGACCTCAGCTACCAACCCCGCACGGCCATTAAGGTCCAAGCATTGGCAGACTTTATAGCCGAGCGAGTCTCCTTCGGACAACAGGAATCACAGGCCCAGCCGACCAGAGACACAGCTAAGGCCGGGCGGGCCGGAGAAGCTGTCGAGGTCGCAAAGGCCGCCAAGTCCGAGCTGACCCAAGACACAGTTGAGGCCGGGCTGGCCGAAGAAGCTGACAAGGTCACGCAGGCCATTAACACTTCCAAGGCCGAGCAGACCATAGATGCAGCTGAGCCCGGGCAGGCCGTAGAAGCTGCCGAGGTCGTACAGGCTACAATGGAGGCCAAGGCCAAACTGATCGGAGACACAGCCGGGGCCGAACAGGCCAGGGAGGTTGCTGAGGTTGAATAGGACGCCGAGAAGATATGTCAGTCCATTCCAACCTGGACGCTGTTCGTGGATGGATCGTCAAGCAAGGAAGGATGCGGAGCGGGGCTTCTCTTGACCAGCCCCAGAGGGGATGAGTTGGCCTACGCCCTGAGATTTGATTTCAGGACCTCCAACAACGAGTCCGAATACGAAGTCCTGGTCGCAGGGATGACGATAGCTCGAAAGTTGGGGGCCGAATCAATAGAAGTCTACAGCGACTCGCAACTAATAGTCAATCAAGTGGGAGGAAGTTATGAAGTTAAGGAGGAACCACTAAGAAAGTACGTCGCCAAAGTGCATGAGCTGAGAGCTCAGTTCAAACCGTTCACGTTTAAACAGGTCCCACGAATCCAAAATAAGAGAGCGGATGCACTGTCCAAACTAGCCTCCACCTCGGTGGGCACGTTGAACAAGGAGGTCTTGGTGGAGATCGTTAGAAATCGGGCATATGATCAGGCAGACGCGCTTGTTTTTCAAGTAATGAGCTCCTGGATGGATCCCATTGTGCGATACCTAACCAATGGAGAGCTCCCCTCAAGCCGGGTAGAGGCACGAAGGGTCCTCCTCAAGTCGTTGGGATACGAGCTCTCGAATGGGATATTTTACAAGAAATTCTACCTATGTCCATGGTTGAAGTGCGTGACTCCAGAGGAAGGAAACTACATCCTACGTGAGCTGCATGAGGGTATCTGCGGAAACCACGTCGGCCCGAGGGTTTTGGCCAAAAAAGGAATGCTGTCTGGGTATTACTGGCCCACTATCCTCTTGGACTCAGCCGAACTGGTAGTACGGTGCAAATTCTGCCAATTGCATGCTCCGATCCACCATGCCCCGACTCAAGAGATGGTGCCTCTTCAGAGCCCTTGGCCCTTCTTCCAATGGGGAATAGACCTGTTGGGTCCGTTCCCTCGAGCTCCTGAGGGCTATGAGCACGTAGTGGTGGCTGTGGATTATTTCACCAAGTGGGTGGAGGCCGAGCCCCTTACCACCATTAGCAGCAGGTCGGTTCAGAAGTTTCTCTGGAGAAACATCGTTTGTTGATTTGGTATACCCCGGGTTCTGGTCTCAGACAACGGACGACAGTTCGCGGACAGTTCTCTCCAAGCTAATGGTTTCCGGCAGCACTTCACCTCGGTAGGTCATTCTCAAGCTAATGGACAGGTCGAAAACGTTAACAGGACTATCCTGCGCAGCTTGAAGACGCGGATGGAGTCCGTCTGAGCTGGGTGGCTGGACGAGCTGCCCACCATACTGTGGGCTTACCCGAACTGCCACCCAGGAGACTCCTTTCGCTCTAACCTACGGAGCGGAGGCTGTGATCCCTGCGGAGATAGGTGTCCCTTCGGACAGGGTTCAGAATTTCATAGCTCGAGACAATGAGGACGAGCTGCGCCTTAACTTGGATCTGTTGGAAGGAAGGAGAGAATAGACGGCTATACGCATGGCTAAGTACAAAGGGCAGATCGCGCGACACTACAATGTTAGGGTGAGGCTTCTATCCTTTAAGCCAGGGGATCTGGTCTTATGGAAGAATAGCGTGAGTCAGCTTCAGGGCACGGGCAAGCTGGACCCAAATTGGGAGGGTCCCTATGTGGTGAAAGAGGCGGATCGAGCTAGATACTGCAAGCTAGCTCACCTCAGCGGAGAGGAGGTCCCGCGTACCTGGCATAATTCCAACTTGAGAATTTTTTGCTAAGAATTCAGCTCACGCATGACAGTTCGTCCCAAAGTCAAGGTTTTTATTAATATTGATGTATGAATTACCTTGCCTTAGAAGATAGTTCATTTTGATCGGCACTAGGCCGGACTGATGTATCTTAAAATTATGACAATAAATTTGCAAATGCGACTAAGTATGGAGCAAAAGAAAGGTTCTTCATTCCATTCAATAAAACTGTACAAGAAGGAGCCAAGCTCGTACAAAAGGAACTGACCAAAGGAAGAGCAGAGCTCATACAAAATGAACTGCCCCCTGACAGTTCGGATTCTATCCTAAAGCCCTACTCTAGTTCTCTCCCTCTTCCTCCACTTGTTCGGATTCTGGGGTGGTCACTGGCAGCAGGGGGTCAGCAACTAGGTCGGCCAGCTTCCGCCCGTGTGAGTAGCCCTCCACCAGGCGATCGATCTGCTCCATGGCTCGGGGGTTGTAGCTGGGGAACTTTCCCAGATCAAACCCAGGCAGGCCCAGCTCTTGCACTTCCTTCAGCGCCTGGGAGTATCCATGCTGCAGCACGGGGGTGTTCAAAAGGGCCAGGTCGTTTGTGAAGTCCTCCGACCTTAGGAAGGCTGCACGCCCTCTTGGCGTCCTTCAGCCTTAGCCGCCTCCACTTGAGCCGACAGCTCGACACCCCTTTGCTGCTCCTCCTTCAGCTGGGTGGTCAGCTTGGAGTTCTTCTTAAGTTCCAGCTCGAAGTTTGAGTGGACTTGTGCGAGCTGCTTCTTCAGGCCTTCAGCTTCGGCCACAGTCGCTTCGTTCTGGCTGAGCAGTTTCTCGTTTGCTGCCTTAGTTTCGCTCATCAAGGGGAGCAGGCTCTCATAGCGCTTGGCCAGCTCGGACCCGACCACGTTCACTTGAGCCGTACCCGTGTAGTAAAAGTCAAGGAGGTCGGATGAGTCCATGGCCTTAACCAAGTTGTAGTCCCGTGGAAGGATAGCCCCATGAGTGAGTTCCCGGGCCACCTCGGGAAATTGAGTTCGGTCATTTATGGAGAGCTTCCATTGAGGGCAGAAGTGCATGGGGTGTTGGTGCGTGACTAGCCGAGTCTGGGGATCGAAGAGCAGGGTAGAGCTTTGGCGTTGCCATAAATTAGGGGGAGCTTCAGCCCGGGCCTGTTCCTCGGCGGTGTTCACGCCGTAGTGGCCGCCCTGACCAGACTCGGGCATCGATCTCTCTTCCCGAGTTGGGGACGAGGTCGTCTCTACCCTAACTCTCTTGGCAGTGGTCTTCTTCTTCTTCTTCTTCCCAGCCTCAACAGCCTTGGAGGACTGGGCAGGAGCTGGCTGAGGTGTCAAAACTGGCGCCGAGCTGGCGGGGATGGCCGAGGGGGTCTGAGTGGCAGCGCCCTGATTGCTGGAGCCTCCGATGGTCAGAAGTTGAGAAAACTTCTTCACTGCACAAACAGAAGCCCAGGAGGTCAGTAGTTGCGTGGGTTTTTTTAAAAAAAAAAAAGAGAAAAAAAAAAAAAGAAAGATGAGGGAAAACGGAAGGTCAAGACGATTACAGGTGGTCAACTCATCCGGGGAGAGGGGTCTGCTCTCTGGAGAGGGATCCGAGGGGTTAGCTCGGATTAGCCCCGCCGCCCAAAACTGAGCATTGCTGAACTCTTTCACGTCTAGCTTTATGTCGGAGCTGAGTAGGCGGCTAAGCTCGGACACGGGGAGTGGGGACGGAAGGGGATCTGAAACTTGAGTTTCTGCTCTCCAGGTAAGGGGAGGAAAACCCAGGTTCTTCACGTAAAAGAACCGAGGCTTCCAGTCCTTGATAGAGGAGGGTGCCCCGTGAACAGCTCGCTGGTGGGGGTTTTCGCTCCACTTCTGCGGGCAAAGTAGAACCACCCAGGCACCTTTCTGCTGACCTTCATCTGGAAGAAGGCTCGGAACAGGCCAAGAGAAAATGGGATTTCAAGTGCTCGACAGAGGATAAAAAAGCCTATGATGGAGCAAACGGCATTGGGAATGACCTGAGTTATGCGGATACCCCAGAAGGTGAGGATAAAGAAGAAGAAATTTGGGATAGGCAAGCGGAGACCAGCCATCAGCTGGTCCCTGTAGATCGCCACGGACCCGGGAGGAGGTCGGCTGGCGACCTCTTCTGGGCGGGCGGCCCTAGGCTCGAATTGGGTTGGGATTTCATATTTATCTACCAGCTCGTCAACATCTTTTTGCTCCAGGGCTGGGGGAATAGTGTCGATCTCTCCAAAGTCGCCACTAGGCTCCCCCGAGGTCCCTACTGGCGTCTGATCTGGAGCCGCCTGTTCAGCGGCTCCGACTAAAGGTTGGGCAGGTTGCTCGGTCGGGCTCATTGCTCTAGCAGGAGACAGGACGGGAGAGGGCGAGAACCCTGGCCCAGATGAACTAGAAGGAGAAGAACTAAAAGAGTCTGAGGAGCTGCTATCTACGAGTATGGGGCTAGCTACTCTATGCCTAGGGGCTGAACTAGTGACGTCAGAACTGTCGGAACTATAAGAAGACATAAAAAGGAAAGGGGAACTTACTGGTGAAAGGAGGAGGTTGGATAAAAGGCTGATCTAAAAAGTGCCGAACTGACTCTGGGCTCTTAACGCAGGGCGACCCGACGTATTCTCGAAGGAAAAAGGGTGAAGCGGCGAACTAGGGATTGAAGGAACGAGCTGATGAAGTGAAAGAGGAGGAGTGAAAATGACGCCCGGGAGGCCTATTTATAGGCGATCCTTAGGGCGGGAAAGTGAAGGGGCGCGCATTTATTTGAACCATTCATTGGGAACCATCCCCAACCGCCATAACTGGTCGAGGTGACGTTGAGGTGACAAATACGAACCGACGCGACGGTTGCTTGCACCACTCCCAGACGAGGGCCCCACACCGAGCTGACGTGACGCCCTGAAATTTGGCCTAGATTCACGTGCATACTCGATGACTCTAGACTGAAGGGGGGGCTAGTGTAGTGGAGCCCACGTGCACTTCTGCCCGGTCCAGTAACACGTCAGCTCGGTCCAGGAGTTCCGGATAGGAGGAGCTAATCGGCCTGGCAGGTCATCCAGGAGGTCCATGCGGACGCAGCCTCCTAAGCGAATGGGCCTGATGGGCTACGAGATCCGAACTTATCGGAGCTGGATGATGGAGCCCTAGGAGGAGCTTTTCTCCAATAAGGACTCCCTGTGCTATCAGGAAACTACTACCTATGACTCTATAAATACAACGCGAGGGAGAAAACACAAGGTACGCCATTCATAGTGCAAAACTCTATTACTTTTATTTCAGATACTTACTGACTTGATCGTCGGAGTTGCTACCGGGGACAAGCCCGGCAGTTCGTTCATCTGCAGGTCGGACATCTCATCAGTTCGATCCCCAGGCCACAGCCCAGCTCGGATCTCCACTTCGGCAGTCGCATCAGCTAGCTTTCCGACAAATATTATATACTACATCTGCCGTAAATTTTGCAGTCAACCTCATGCTCAACTCCTATTTTAAGAATAACTGGAAACCTTGCTACCCACAAGTTGATACCGAACATCCTCCTCCTCTCCTTCAAAAAAAAACATCCTACTCCTCTAATCCACGTTCCCGGTGTCTTCTGTCTGGTGCTCTCGACCACAAGTACTCCTGCCAGCCAGTGCCACTACCCAACCCAGTGGTGACCTTATCCGAAGTGATGACAGAATTCAACAGGAAAAAGACCGGCAACTTCAATCTTTTTTCATGCGTCCAAGTCCGTAAACTCTAGGTAAAGCATCACCAGAAATGGGAAGCTGGAAGCAATCACACAATGTGCAAATGTCCTCGTCAAAGTAGAAAGTCCAATACCCACCCTCCACTTTTCTAACGTAGGGTCAGTAAATAATCCAGTCAAGGCGAAACTCCTCCCAAGTTGCAATTCTGTGCTTGGACGGTTGTACCTGATTCGTCAGTAGCTTTTGTAAGGACAGTTCACATGATATTTAGAGCACACAACACAAGATCAAACGCCCCCACAATCATTCCTCGATAATTTATCCATATCAAACTGGTCTTTTGACTCTAGAGCAACAGCCCGTTTCAAGAACCAAGGGGAAAAAAAAAGGGAAAAGAAATGGTGGCAGATGCATTGAGTGGTGGTGGTTGCTGGAGGGCAGTGGGTGGCTTTGGCTACCAATTGCTCACCGGTCGGTGGTTCATGGTCTTTGCCTCTAACTTAATCATGGCCGTGGCCGGCGCAACGTATATGTTTGGCCTCTATTCCGGGGATATCAAGTCATCACTAGGCTATGACCAAACATCGGTGAATTATCTTAGCTTCTTCAAGGACTTGGGTGGCAATGTCGGAATCATATCGGGGCTTATCAACGAAATAACACCTCCTTGGGTGGTTCTCATCATTGGTGCCGCCATGAACTTCGCTGGTTACTTCATGATATGGCTTGCAGTAACAGGACATGTCGCCAAACCCCCCTTGTGGCAGATGTGCTTGTATATTTGTGTCGGTGCGAGTTCTCAGACATTTGCCAATACTGGTGCGCTGGTTACTTGCGTTAAGAACTTCCCGGAGAGTCGAGGTGTAGTTCTAGGCCTCCTGAAGGGCTTTGTAGGCCTCAGTGGTGCGATAATCACGCAGCTCTACCATGCCTTGTACGGACACAACTCCAAGTCTCTTATTTTGCTCATTGGATGGCTTCCAGCAGCTGTCTCCTTCATTTTTCTCCGGACAATTCGCATCATGAAGGTCGTTCGACACGAAAATGAACTGAAGATATTCTACAACCTTCTCTACTTATCACTTGGCCTCGCTGGTTTTCTTATGATCCTAATCATCCTACAGAACAGGCTCGTCTTTACTGCAGGTGAGTATGCAGGAAGTGCTTCAGTTGTGCTTCTTTTACTCTTTGCACCCCTACTGATTGTTATCAAAGAAGAACTCAATCTTTGGAAGAGCAAGAGGCAAGTCTTGCATGATTCTTCTCAATTGAATGTGGCAACTGAAAATCCACCTCCAGTACTCCAACTATCGCTTCAGGTGGGACAACAAGAAGAGACACCACCAGCACCAGGTGATCCCTGTGCTCCACAGAACCCGGAGAAACAAGTTTCATGCTGGAGCAGCGCATTCAAGCCACCAGACAGAGGTGAGGACTATACTATACTGCAGGCACTTTTTAGCGTGGACATGATCATCCTATTCACAGCCACAACATTCGGGATCGGTGGGACCTTGACGGCAATTGATAATCTGGGTCAAATTGGCAAGGCATTAGGCTATCCTACAAAGAGCATTTCGACCTTTATTTCACTGGTGAGCATTTGGAATTATCTCGGACGTGTGACCTCCGGTTTTGCTTCTGAAATTCTGCTGGCCAAGTACAAATTTCCTCGACCTCTAATGCTAACCATGGTGCTTCTTCTCTCTTGTGCCGGCCATCTTCTCATCGCTTTTGGGGTCCCAAATTCCCTGTACGTAGCCTCAGTGATTATGGGTTTCTCCTTTGGAGCACAATGGCCACTAATTTTTGCCATCATATCAGAGCTATTTGGTCTAAAGTATTACTCGACGTTATACAATCTTGGTGCTGGAGCTAGTCCTGTTGGTGCTTATATACTTAATGTTAGAGTAGCAGGTCATCTCTATGACAAGGAAGCATTGAAACAAATGGCAGCGAAGGGACTCATCAGGAAAGCAGGGGAAGATCTAACTTGCAATGGCGTTATGTGTTACAAACTAGCCTTTCTAATAATTACTGCGGCAACCATGTGCGGGTGTGCTATTTCGTTTATTTTAGTCTTCAGAACTAGAAACTTTTACAAGGGAGATATCTACAAGAAGTTCAGGGAGCAAAGTAGCAAACCAAAGTAGTAGACCCTGGTACGCTGGGATGACCAAGGTAAGAACAGTACCACCGCCACGGCCTCCGCCTCCTTCAGCTGGATACGTCAAATACCATGCTTGATCCGGATAGTTACAGAGAATTAGGAACTGAATGTAAAGTTCGTATTCGCCTACGTCCAGGAATTGAAGAATAAATTGTTACAGTATTTGGACACCTAAATCCTAATGGCATATCCTCAATGTTCAAGATTCAACACATCCTTAGTCGCTGGTAGCTTTGTCGCAGGTTATAATAGCCAGCGCTCTTCTTTTTACTTATTCCTTTTTTTTTATCCATTACTTTTGCTCGACGAAAATTGCAGTAGCTAGCTTGTTCAAGAAAAAAATCACCGTATGTTGTCGAGCAAGAATTCAAGCTAACAGCCATGTCAGAGAGATAGTGAGAGTGGTTGTAAGCATGAGGTCTTAGATTCAAGTAACAGCCATATCATTCTAGGACCATTGGCTTGAAAGTTGGCTTCTTTACCAACTACCAGAAATTTGCAGTGATCGCTTACTTCTTTATGAGATGTTAATAATACAAAATACAACTAAATCAGGATATGTATTGTTTGCATTAGAAGCTTGCCGACATTTCGCATAAGGCTGCTTGACTTCAGAGTTATACGGCTGGTATGCAATGTTTGCATTAGAAGCTTACCTATACGAGACACTACAAAAATTTAAGGGATAATTTCAGAAACCTCTCTTGAGGTTTCTAACAATTTCACTGCCCTCCTAGAAGTTCTAAAAATTCCATTTACATTCTACAATGCTAAGACTTATCATACTTTTAATATAATAATAATAATCATGGACAGATAGATAGACAGATGGATGGATAATAGATTTTAAAACTTAGACATAAGATGAATAGCAACTTCATATAGATATCAGAGGATTAAACTCAAGGTAGACCTAACTAGAAAACCCTGTAGTCTGAAACTCCGATCCGAATCAAACATATATTTTTGTGCAGACATATTTCCAACAAAAGGACTCTGACTGTCCGTCCATTTTTATTCTACAGAAAAGCCGCATTCAAGGCAAATGCAACCAATTATTTCTGTCTCGTACAAGAGTGGTTTATCTTCCAACAATAATATAGAAGTGGGAAAATCATTTTGATTGAACGAGCAAGCGATACTGATTCTCAGCAGGCCCACTTAGCCTTCTCTTTTGACTTCTTGAAATGGAGGTGTAACTGATTGGCCTGTAATAGTTACACGTACACTCATCACCTGAACATCAATCGCAACCATAGCATCCGTGCAGTTCTGTGCATTCCTCAGGAGTCTGGGCCAAAGTGTCTGCAGAAGTCTTAACCACTTGTTAAATGCATTCAACAAGTTTAGTAGTTCAACAATCACATCGAGTAGAAAACTAGATGATCAGGGAGGAAGAATGAGCAAATGGATAGTCAAGCTGACAATTTGCTGAAGAGAAATTTAAATGTGACACTTTCATTTTCTCTCTACATGGCGTTGGTAGAGCTTGGAATAGCAAATTTCCAAACTCACTTCTAGATTTATATTGAGTCTGGCAACTAGAGTTCAGGCAACTATATTCCTACATAACAGAAATCCCGCGGCTCCTCCACATGCCTAACAACAGCCACTAACTTAGTGAATATACCCGAATCTTTGTCTTTGGTTTTTTACCTGGATAATTTGTCAGTTTCAATGGAGCCAAACCAACTAATTATAATTTTCTCAATCCCTGATCCAAAGGATCATCGGTGGGCAATCAAATTGCCCAAATCTTTTACCTCCTTGATGAAACAGTCAGGATCAAGTTAGTCTGAGTCAAGCTATTGTTTCTGTGGTAAAGAAGTCTAGGGTTCGTTTGCGAGTGGAAGATTTGGATAGAAAAGAAAGGGAAAGAAGAGAAAGTTTACTTTTGTTTCATTTGTTAGTTTTAAGCAGGAAAGAAAAGAAAAGAAATGGAAAGATGAATAGTTAAGAAAATGCTTCCTCCCAAATCGGAAAGAAATGGGAAGAAAGTTTGGAGAAAGCTTGATATTTTTTTTTAAAATGCCTATTTTGTCCTTAAAAAGGTTTTGAACAAATATTTAATGACTTTTATGTCCAAAATCATTCCACTAATTCTCAAAATTTCCAAACAACATAACAATCTCTTCCCTTCTCTTCTCTTCTTTCATAACTTAAGCTTTCCCTTCTTTTCTTTTCTATCCTAAACTCCCAAACTAAGCCTAAGGTGGAAAGAAAATATTGGAAGGAGTCCTTTTGGGCCAGAATCCACTTGCCAAGTGTAGTAGTTTAGAAAAAATAGTGGATGCTTAAACCCCAAAAGTTTTGGTACAGCCATATTTACGGTTCAAAGGCAATATTTCTAATCACAGAAGGGTGTGAAGGTTCAGAAGCTGCATGTAAGAGCTTGTGGAAGATGCAACAATAAAAGGGAAGCCTATACAAAAAGGAAACCTTAAACCATGTAACTTTTTTACTTATGCAGCTCATCATTTCTTCAAGGAGGTCTTTAGATTTATCTAAATTGAGGTGAAATTTGTACTTGGCTATCTGTGCAAACGATTGCTGAACTTTAACAAGAGTTTCTTTTGGTCAATTGAACATTTTTCCATATTAAATTGATAATCCAACTATTGCAGGTGTCACATTCTACTGATTTAGTCAATTTCATCCATTAGCTTCTTTAACTAAGGACCCTATATCTAGATTACTCATCTACTCTAGGGTATTTTAGTCAGTTTGATTCACCCAAATATGAGTTTTTACCAATTCAGGAAGAAAAGAGAAGAAAACTTTTCTCATGGACAACATCAAGAAGCTAGCAGCGGAAATTTTAATAACACTCCTACCATTAAATACAGTTGATGTACTCACCCTTTTTGTTGTGTGGTACATAACATCACAGCTAACAGACTTAATTCCCAATTTGCTCACTCACAAGCTCAAGTAAAGTGCGATAATTTGGTGGAGGTAGCCCAGATAAATCTGTTACGAAGAACAGTCCAAGATTATGATGTTCTCCGAAGTGCACTATTGCCATTCAAAAAATCACTTGCTTACGTAGTGGTGTACTGGAGCTATATTATTTTCCTTTAGGGCAAAATACACTTTGCCCCTATGGTTTAGCAATTTTTCTTATATATCTCCATAGTTTCAAAAGTTATATATAACCCCATCATAGTTTAAATTAAAGTGTCAAAGTGACGAAAATGATAATTTGTAATGGAACATATGAAAATGTTGAATTTACCCTTGTTTAAAAATTAAAATGGCTGAAATGACCAATAAATATAAACATAATATGTATGGCACTCTAATTTCGTATGATTTTTTATTTTATCATGTAAACCTGTTATGGTTTAGTGTTTTACCATATAACCCACTTATAGTTTTCAAAATATATACACAACCCCCTGTAGTTAATAAATAATTTTTAATTTTACATAGGGGTACTTTTGATATTTTAGTTGATTCCGTTATGAAATACAAATTCCGTCATTGTAATACTTTAATCCAAATTATGAAGAGGTTATGTATGACTTTTGAAACTATAAGAGAATTATCTGAAAAGCGCTAAATCATAGGGGATAAACGGTATTTTGCCCTTTCCTTTAACCAGAGATTTACAATCAACTATAATGACCAAAAACTGGTTCTTGGATCATTTTGGAACGGGGGGCTATCCATCGGGAAGTAAGACGTACACGAGTTTTAAAACTGTTCAGGACAAATTTATGGGATTCAACTTTGAAAAAAATTGAGTTCCTTAAATTTATGCATGTTAACGGGTTGAATTTAATATACTTGAGTAGGGTTTGTATTGTAAATTTTTAAATCCAGACGTTACCCAAATCAGACCTGTAAGAGACCCAGGCCCAAAACTTAGTATGAAATCAATACTCCTTCATTGAAACTGACAAATCGGGATTGTATTCATGTCCAAGAACAAGCAGCCAAAATTTAGCATGAAATCAAAATATTCTTTCACCTCCTAAAACCGTTACAAAAAACTGGCCATGTCAATGTTTCATTTTAGGTAATAATCAATATTTTTAAACTCGGATCAGAGAGTGAACCGAAAAACCTTTCGATTCACGGTTTGATCAGTTCAATCGATTTGATCTCTGTTTAAAGGTTTAATAATTTTTTATTCATTTCAGTATTAAGAATTTTGAAAAAAATTAAAATATTTATTTTAAAAAATAAATACTTAATAAAAATCTATTAAACCTCCCAATTTTTATCATTTTTTATCTGTTCAACTGATTCCTGATCAATTTTGATCGATTCAATTAATTATTTGATTTTTTAATTAAATCGGGCTGGACACATGACCAATTTGTGGTTCAATTGGTCGAGCTGGCCAGTCCGATCCAACTTTCAAAACATTGGTAACAAAGAGGTGACATCGGCCTACTTCTTGGTCACCCCGCATTCTGCCTATGCCAATACCAACCCAATTGGTCACTCGGGGCCAGTCGAGCTCCCAAATGGGGTACCCAAGCCATGGATCTCGTGAAGGAAGATCTCGTTAACATCATTGATGTAACTTGTGCCATCTAACACTATAGCGGGCTACCTCTGTCAAATTCTGGCCCGTTGGTTCCACTATCCAATCGATTACTAAGCCTCGACGAGAGATTGGGCAGCAAAACCCATTTTCTGACTCAAAATTTTGGCCAATAGTACCCCGATTCATTCATCGTAGGAACCTTGGAGTTTAAATGGCACTCCCTCCGTCCCGTTTTGTTAGTCTTAGTTTTTTTTTTCACACAGATTAAGAAAGTGTAATTAATTTGGTTGGAAACATAAATTTAGATCAATAATTTTCTAAAATACCCTTATGCTAATCACGAAGAGTGCCAATTAATATCAGTTACAGCTAATGGGTTAGTATTGGAAAAACTCAATGTATTCAATGTAGTGGGTTAGTATTTAATAACAATGTATTAATAACAAGATATTTAATAAGGGTATTTTAGACAATTTGAAAGATTACTATATTTCTTAATGGGAAAGGGTACTACAATTTGAGACAGACGAAAAAGGAAAACAAGACTATCAAAGCACTTGGGACGGAGGGAGTAAAATAAGAAAGGAAAATGGAAAAATAACCTTGGAGACACAAGTTAGGCTTGGTAGTTAGTATGTACTAAAGAGCACATCACATGCTTTAGACGACGGGATGCAAATTCAAATTATACGCTGACAAGGCAAAGCATAAACT